ACTGAGAATACTCATGAAAGTTCCATCCAGAACTGACACTTGTTTTATTTTCTGTTACTAAACGCTGTCCTTGGAAAGGAGATGCTGATTTACACAGCAACATGGGGAATCCCAAAAACACTGTGCTGAGTGAAAGAAGCTAGACCCAAAACTCATCCTGTGTAATACTGTGAATTATACTCTAGAGAAGCCAGATCTAACCAATAACAACAAAACGCAGATCGGTCATTGCTTGGGGCTAGGGGTAAGGACAGGGCTGACTGGGAAGGATCAGAGGGTCCTGCCTGGAGTAGTGGGAAAGTTCTACATTTTGACAGTGGTGCTTGGGCACTCAGGTGTACATTTGCCAAGTCGTATCAAACTGTGCACTTGGAATGCTCATGCATTTTATTACATGGGAACTGTGCCTCCAGAATTTGTTTTAAATTAAAAAAAAAAAGAGTCCTCGGAAGTATTTCTAAAAGGTGGGGAAGAACTTTTTAAGAAGTTGAACTTGAGAGACTATTTTTAGATCTTGTTAAAAGTAATCTTTAATCGCCGAAATAGCTGCCACTTCAATGGGTGCTGCGCTTCGTAACTGCTGCTCCGGTATTGACAGTAAAGCAACAGGGGCTCCTGGCTGGCCGGGTCAGTAGAGCATGAAGGTCTTGATCTCTGGGTTGTAAGTTCGAGCTCCACCTTGGGTGTAGAGATTACTTAAAAATAAAATCTTTTGGGGCGCCTGGGTGGCTCCGTCGGTTAAGCAGCGAACTCTTCATTTTGCCTCAGGTCAGGATCTCGGGGTCATGAGACTGAGCCCCAGGTGGGCGGGGCTCTGCGCTCAGTAAGAAATCTGCTTGAGATTCTCTCCTGCTCTCTCCCCCGTGGCCCCTCCTCCCTCAAATAAATTAAATAAATAAAATCTTTCAAAAAATAAAAGCTTTTTAAAAATTAAAATAAAATAGCAATTGAAATATCTGTATTTCTAAAAAATGTAAATACTTGCATTCATATATATATTTATCAACCCTGATAAAAACTGACATATATATGTATGAATGTATAAATGTATAAAAATGTATAAAAAGCCCATAACCCTGATAAAAACTGACATATATATGTATGAATGTATAAAAAGGCCATAACTCTGTCAATTCCTGTTCAAACACGAGTTTGAAAGTCTTTGATAAGCAGTACTACAGAGTGACTATGAGTAAAATCTGGAACCTGATTGGTGAAGTCCAAATTTCACCTCTGCCCATTACTAACTCTGTGGTATTAGAAAAGTTTCTCAATTTTCCTGTGCCTCAGTCACTGTGTTAATAACATGGGGATAATAATAGTATCTATCTCATAGGGTCGTTATGAGTAGTAAATAAGTTAATATGTGTACAGCATCCAGTACGTGGCACATGGTGTAGCAGTCAGGTTAGGCTAGTTATGCTGTGGTAACAAACAGCTCCAAAATCTCAGCTGTTCAAAGTAATAAAGGCTTATTTCTCACTCCTTGCCACACATCCATCACAGGTTAGAACGGGGACATTGAACAGCAACTCAGACTGATGGAAGCTTAATTTTGACTCATGTTTCCATGGTCTGACCAAGTCAGGAAAAAGGGATGTGGCAGATCAGACACTGGCTCTTAAAATTTCTGCGATTTACATTCCATTTAGCAAAAACAGTTACATCATCACACCTAACTTCAGAAGGGCAAGACTGTGTGTCCAGAAAAGGGGAGAACCAGAAATATTTGGTGACCAGCACTAATGACCACCATGGTTAGTTATTGTAATTGCATTTTGAAGTAGGTAGAGAAGGACTGCATGAGGAGGTGATATTTTTGCTGAAGCTGAAACAAAAAAGGAGAAAGTATGGGAGAAAGCTATATAAAGATTGTAAGGCAGGAATGGGCTTGAAGTATTTGAGAAACAGAAAAATGGTTCAACGTTTGGAGAATGAATGAATGAGAGATAGCAGGGCTAGGTCACACAATGCCTTGTAGGTTGTGGTAAAGAGTTTGAATTTTATTCCAAAGTGTAATGGGAAGCCACAGTAAGGTTTCAGCCAGGGGACATGGCATAAGCTTTATAGAGACCATTCACTGTGGTTGCTCTTGTTGGATGGACATGTATGGAATAAGGGAGATCTGTCCAGGTGAAGATGCTGGTGGTCTGGACCAAGGCAGTAGCAATGTAATTGGAAACAAGTAGGCATGGGCAAGATTAACTTTGGAAGTAGAACTGACCGACTGGATGTGGAAGGTGAGGGGAAAGAAGGAATCAGTAATAACTCCTAGGTTTCTGGCCTCAGAAACTGACTGGTTATGTTAGCCGAAACTGGTTTCATCTCTTGGTGGGTGTCGAGTCAAAGACACAACCAAGCCCAAAAGTAGGAAAAGGCAAGGTTTTTACCTGCAACAGTAAGGAGAACAGCCAGGGTATTTCCCAAACAGTGACTCCTTGAACAAAACTTGGGAATTTTTAGGCCAAGGGCACATACATATTTTTGAAGAGGCTTGTGCCACGGGGGATTCAGCACAGAATTGGGACAAAAGTCATCTTAAGGTGACAGAGTCCAAGTTGAAGTCACAGGGTCAGCAAGGGTCAGCATCATCAGTTCTCTGGCTCTAGCTGGCCCACCACCTGAGTGCTCAAAGGGGTTTAGATCCTGCAACGGTAACTCAAGAATACTTAGCAGGTCAGTCCTCACCTTTGAATCAGAGCTGGGAGTTTGACCACCAATCTACTGTGCCTGATATGATCAGGCCGCCCCTGACAGTGGCTATTTGTTCTTACATTTTTTGTTCCCTTAAATTCTTCTCCCGGGGTCTATTCTTCTGCAATTCCAACATACTCCAGGGAGGTCTGCAAGAAATACGCTTTGAGCGAGTGGTGCTTGTCAGGCATAGGTCTCAAGATGCCTGGGAGCCCAAGAAGACTTTTCTCATGTCAAGAAAGCTATGCCTTGTCTTTCTTTTTCCAGAGACCTCTAACTTCTTCTGCTCACGCTTATTGAGATGGAGATTTTTGTTCCCAAAGTGGAAACTGAGTGGTAGTGGGGTTTTCTGAATCAAGACTTTTGGTTTTTCCCTGTTGATTTTGATGCTTTTGAATAATTAAAGGTTGATATTGGGTAGTACTTTGATATATAAATTCGGAACAATGTGGAGTGGACAAGGCTGTAGATGTAAACTGAGGGGTTGTATTAGTTATCTGCTGATACATAACAAATTACCCCAAAGCTAGTAGCCTAAAGTGACAAACATTTATTATCTCACAGTTTCTGTTGGACAGGAATTTGGGTAATTCTTGTTCTGGGGGTCTCATAAAGTTTCAGTCAAGCTATTAGTTGGGGCTGCAGTCACTTGAAAGCTTGATAGGGCTGGGGGATCCATTTCCAAGATGGTGAACACAGAAGGCTATTTGGCAAGAGGCACATGCATTACCATAGAGTACTTCAATGTCCTTCAGGACTTAGCAGCTACTTCTCTAGCAAGAGATCCAAGAGAGCAAGAGGCAGAAACCACACTATGACCTACTCTTAGTAACATCACTTCTGCCACCTTTTTTTTATCTCACAGACCAACCCTGATGTGACATGGGAGGAGATTACACAAGGACATGAATCTCAGGGAATTTTATCATCATATAAATAGTATAAAAAGCCATGAGAATAGATGAGATAATTTGGTTGTGGGGGGAGAATACGGATAAAGAACCCTAGGACACTTCAACATTTAAAGACTGGCCAGGAGAGAAGGAGCCAGTAGGCCAGGAGGCTAAGAACTGGTTAGTGAGGCAGGAGGTAAAGCAAGAGCATGTTGTTTCACAGAACCCTAGGGGGACCGTTGACTTGAACAACAAGCCAAATGTCATGGAGAGTAAGCAGACTGCAAAGCAGTTTGGATCAAACAACACAAAAATAATCGGTGATCATGCCAAGAGCAGTTTCCAAGGAGTGTTACCCTGGTTGGAATAGGTTGAGGGTAAAGAGAATGGAAAAATCTGGCAACACTGAGCACAGAAAATCCTTCTGATAAATTTTGCTATGGAGAGGACCTCAGGATCAAGGAAGAACACTTTTCATGAAAGGAGATCTAGTACATGTCTGAATGCTGTCCAGAAGCAGGACAAACACTGTCAATGTCAAGATGCCTGGGAGGGGTCACTGAGAGGAAGTCCTTGAGCAGGCATGAAGAGACGGGATTCTGAGCCCACATGGAGGGGCTGGACTTTGAGGGGAACAGAGACAATTCATCCAGGGTAATAGGGATGCAGGCAGAGAATGCGGGGGTAGCTGCAAGGGGGTGGGTAGATTTGGTGGTGGAAGGAAGGTGAGGGATTCTCTTCTTAGAAAGGTTTTATTTTATTATTTTATTTCTTCCTTTCCCTTCCCTCCCTTCATTTCTTCCTTCCTTCTTTCCTTGACTTAAAACAACAGAAATTTATTATCTCACAGATCTGGAGGCCAGAAGTCTGAAATCAAGGTATTAGCAGAGTTGATTCTTTCTGGAGGAAGGGCATTAACAGTACAATATCTGGGAGGAACATTACAGTTTGTTTTGATGAGGAAACAAAAGGCAAACTGAGGACAAAGGAGAAGCTGACACCGCACAACCCTCCCCCCCAACCCAGATGGGATATGTGTGACGTTCCTCGCACACTCCTGGCTGCCCTAAAGCTAAGGACAGGGAAAGCAAGGAGTAAACTTGTATAGATCACAATCCTGCAAGACAGGCGCCTCCCCTCCGTTAATCTACAAGAACAAGGCATGTCTATCAACACCCCAGCTTCCAGAGGGAAATGTAGATCCAAGAAAATGTCCTTACGACCTGCGGCCCACTGAGAGACACTGGACACAGCAGGGTGTAGTGCTCCTCCGGAAGCTCCCAGCTGTCCTACTGTTACTGCCTTGCTGGAGGGAAAACCACCCTAACGGGACAGTGGCAAGGCCTCTGGTGTCCTGTGCGTCTTTAACACGTGAAAATCCTTTTGAAATTTCCCTTTCCTTATCTCCCCCAGCCCCGCAGTGAATCAGCCTCCCCTCAGAACCCCCATGCGGCAGCTCCCATGGGTCCTGTCCCCGTCCGCCCCACTGAACCTCACCTAAATTCCAAAAGCCCCTCAGCTTCAAGTGTCTGTCAATGGGCCGCGGGTTATAAGGACATTTACTCGCGTCTAAACTTCCTTCTGGAAGGCCGGCTGTCCGCAGAGATGCTGTTCTTGCGCGCTGCTCCAGCTGCTGTAAACTGAGGGAGACTCGCGTGGTGCAGGATTGGAACCTCTGTAAGTGAACTGCTTTTCCTTTAGGGCAGCCAGGGGCGCGTGAGGAATGCCACTGTGTCCCATGGTGGGGTGCTGTGGGGTATCAGCCTCTGCCTGTCCTCAGCATCACTGTGTCCCACGGCAGGATGTTGTGGGGTATCAGCCCCTGCCTGTCCTCAGCATCACTGTGTCCCTCGGCGGTGTTGTGGGGTGTCAGCCCCTGCCTGTCCTCAGCGAGCCTTCTGTTCCCCCAGCACTTGCTTCTCTCTTTACGGCCCGCCCTGTCAAAAGGGAGCGTGGAGCCCTCTTGGAGGTCTGGGCCCCCGCCGATGAGGGAGCAGAAGGCTGGCTGAGGGGTGCCTGGGTGGCTCAGTTGGTTGAGCGACTGCCTTCAGCTCAGGTCATGATCCAGGACTTCCAGGATCGAGTCCCGCATTGGGTTCCCAGCTCTTTGGGAAGTCTGCTTCTCCCTCTGACCTTCTCCTCTCTCATGCTTTCTCTCACTCATTCTCTCTCAAATAAATAAATAAAATCTTAAAAAAAAAAGAAAAAAAAAAAAGAAGGCTGGCTGAGGACAGCGCGCCAGCTGACACCGTGCACCGCTGCCCCCCACCCCTGGGTGGGCTATGGTGGAAATTCACGTTAATGCCTCGGTAGAGGGAAAACCACGGGAACGTGACCACGGCAAGGCCTCGGATGTGTCACAGGTCCTCTTCAGCACAGGAAAGTTCTGAAAATCTCTTTTCCTTAGCTCCCCCCGCTCCCAAGCGCACCATCCGTCACCCCTCGGAACCCTGGTGCAGCGGCTTTTGCTGCCCACAGGTCCTGCCCCAAGCTTTAATAAAACCACCTTTTTGCACCAAAGCCATCTCGGGATGACCATGGGCTCAGCCCTTCACCCCACCTCTATTCCAGAACCACATTAAGGTGGCCGTCGGTGGAGGCCCAGGGTCAAGCTACGGCCGCGGGGTGGGCACCCCCAGGCACCGCAGAGGCTTTGCCTGGGCTCACGAGGCGTCCGGCCGATCCCTGGGCCTCCGGCGTCTGGGGAGGGCTGGCGGTCCCCCTGGCCAGGGACCTCGCTGCCTTCCGGAGCTGGGACGGGACGCGGGCGTCCCTCGCCTAAAGGCTCAGGTTCGGGCTCCGCGCTGGCCCTCCCCGCCGTCGCCACGGGGCAGCGGGGAGCGGGTCCTCCCCGGTGACCTTCCGGCCTCGAGCTCCTCCGCCCCCAGCACCCGCCTTCCACCAAGATGGCGCGGGCGGCGGCGGCGACGGCGGGTCACGTGACCGCGCCCCGCCCCGCCCCCTCCCGCGCGGCTCCGAGCGGGGCGCGGCCGCAGTCGCCTGCGAGCGAGCGGCCGGAGGCAGGCATGCACCCGGCGGCCTGGGCGGCGCTCGGCCCGCTGCTCTGGGCCTGCGGGCTGGCGCTGCGGGGCGGGATGCTGTACCCGCGGGAGAGCCCGTCTCGGGAGCGCAAGGAGCTGCACGGCCTCTGGAGCTTCCGCGCCGACTTCTCCGAGAACCGGCAGCGCGGCTTCGAGCAGCGGTGGTACCGGTCGCCGCTGCGCGAGGTGCGGGCCCGTGGGCGGGGGCGGCCGGAGGAGCTGCGGGAAGGGCGGACTGGGGGGCCGGGGGCGGGCGGCGGCCTGCCGGGCGGGGGCGGCCCCTGCTCGACCCGGCCCGCTGGGACAGGCGCCGCGGCCGGGCCCTGAGCTGGAGCGCGGGAGCGGGGAGCCCTCGGCGCCGGGTCCCCAGCTCTGCCGCGGCACGGAGGAGCCATCGCAGGGTTCGGAGAGAGGACGGGGCTCAACCCCCGCCCAGCCGGGGACCCCCCCCCAGGCCTCCCGTCCGACTTTGGGGGCGCAGTCGGCCTTCGCGCTCACGGGCGCGCGTCTCTCCTAGACCCCCTTTTGTCCTCCGCTCGGCGTTCACGGGGAGGAAGACCGGGGGCCGGGGACCGGCGCGTGCACTCCGAGCTTCCCCTGCAGAGCGGTCCCTGCCCCCCCGCCTTCCTCCCGCGGGCGGTCAGTTGACCGTCTTCCTCTTAGGGTCCGCTCACGGATCCGCTTGTCCCCGGCAGGGTTGCGGCCCGCCTCACCCGGTGCACAGCCTGCCCCTCCCCCAGCCTGGCCCACCAGCCCCGCAGACTTTTCTCCCCAGTTCACACACCCGTTCAGCCAGTGTCTGTTGAGTCTCTGGAAATCGTGGACGCTCTTCCCCAGGCTGCTTCCAGGCCCACTGAGCTGTCTGTCCCCTTCGTGCCTGGCCTTGTAGCCGAGGGGATCAGGGGGTTCCCTGTCAGGTTCAGGTTCACCCAGTTGGGCCAACTTGCCCTCAGGCAGTATCCCGTCGGCCCCAGAAGGCCTTCCCTGACCCCTACGATAGTTCCCGCCACCCTCCAGACTCTTCACAGAGCTGACCACCTGCCGGCGGAGGCCTCGCTTTATTCCTGGCACCTAGAGCGGCCTTGTAGGTTCGCTGCACACTGCCCCTTACGCGTCTGAGCGACCAGCATCCGCTTCCTGGAGTTGTGAGAATTAAATGAACTCCATGAAAGGCATCAGTCAGGTGCTGGCAGAGAAGGACAGTGGTGGGGCGCCTGGGTGGCTCTGTCGGTTAAGCGCCTGCCTTTGGCTCAGGTCATGATCCCAGCGTCCTGGGATGGAGCCCCGCATCAGGCTCTCTGTTCAGCCGGGAGTCTGCTTCTCCCTCTAGCCCTCCCCCCTGCTCGTGATCTCTCTCACTCTTTCTTTCAAATAAATAAAATCTTTAAAAAAAAAAAAGAGGAAGAATGACAGTGATGGGACGGCCTGGAATCCCAGGGCCTGGGAGAAGTCATCTTGTCCAGCTTTCTTCCTGCAGGCAGGGTTGTGGGAGGACCTGGCCTCTAGGGAAGGGGGCTGCCTGGGTCCTGGTCTTAGAATCCAAGGTGCTCTGGACCTTATCCCAGCCCTTCTCTCCTCAGTCGGGCCCCACACTGGACATGCCGGTTCCCTCCAGCTTCAACGATGTGGGCCAGGATAGGCAGCTGCGCAGCTTTGTCGGCTGGGTGTGGTATGAGCGGGAGGTGACCCTGCCCCAGCGATGGACCCAGGACCTGGGCACAAGGGTGGTGCTGAGGATTGGCAGTGCACACTACTATGCCATTGTGGTCAGTACAACGAGCATCAGGCAGGGTGAGCGGTCAGGTGCAGTTGCTGAGCAGCTTGGGGCTGCCTGATTAGCAGGGGTCACCTGACAGCCTGCCCCCTGGGGTGGATGGGGGGCACGCTCAGGCCCTACTCTGGGGTTAGTGCCCGGGGTCAGGGGAGGGTTGCCTGATCTGTTCTGGAGCTTGGTTCCTCCATCTGTGAGACAGGCGGCAGTCGGCAGGGCCCTCAGGCCCCACATACTGCCCTTCGTGTGAGGGGGCGCCGGAGATGGCAGGCACCAACTTGTTCCTCCCTCCCATATCTCCCTGTGTCTGCAGTGGGTGAATGGGGTGCATGTGGTGGAGCATGAGGGGGGGCATCTCCCCTTCGAAGCCGACATCAGCAAGCTGGTGCAGAGTGGGCCCCTGTCCTCCTGCCGCATTACCATTGCCATCAACAACACGCTCACCCCCCACACGCTGCCGCCAGGGACCATCCTCCACAAGACGGATACCTCCAAGTGAGCAGCACCCTGCTCCCTGCTCCACTCCACCCCACTCCCCACCCCGCCCATTGGTCTTCCCACTAGGGGCTGGGTGGCCTTAGCAGAGGTGAGGCCCTGGCTCTGGGAGGTCAGGCAGATGTTTGAGCTGAGGTCAAAGGACCAGAGCACGTCTGCAGTTGGGCATTTTTCTCCCTCCTAGGTACCCTAAGGGTTACTTTGTCCAGAACACAAACTTTGACTTCTTCAACTACGCGGGACTGCATCGGCCCGTGCTTCTCTACACTACACCTACCACCTACATCGACGACATCACCGTCACCACCGGCGTGGACCAGGGCACCGGTAAGGGCTCCTGGCAGGAACCTCCCTCGGCCAGGCCCCAAGTGGCTCTGCTCCCTGTTTAGCAAGATCCTCTAGGGGAGACGCTCTCCCAGCATCTCTTCACCCGCAGGCTTCCCATCCACCTAAGAGGAGCTGCGGCCCAGCCTTTCGGAATAGGCACAGGCAGCAGAAATCACCCGTCTGGCCTGACCTCATTTTGTGAGGAAAGGAAGCGCAAAGAGATGCGGGGCTTGCCTAAAACCGTAGCTCCGGGGGGATAGCTCAGGGTTCATGAGAATCCTGTCTCTTCCCCCTGTGCTGCCCTCCCTGCAGACTGAGACTCAGGGTGGTGGCCCCAGGGAACTGTCCTCTGTATGACCCAGGCTGTTTCCTTCCCCTCTTTTGTCTGATCTGTCTTGTCCCTTGCAGGGCTGGTGGATTACCAGATTTTCGTCCAGGGCAGTGAACACTTCCAGTTGGAAGTGCGTCTTCTGGACCAGGAAGGCAAAGTCGTGGCCCAGGGGACAGGGTGCCGTGGCCAGCTGCGGGTTCCCAACGCCCACCTCTGGTGGCCCTACCTGATGCATGAGCACCCCGCCTACCTGTACTCTTTGGAGGTAATGGTGGTTAGGCCTGGGGCTGCAGAAGGCCTTTTGCCCCTACCCAGCAGCTGCGGCTCCAGGTGGTGGGGCGGTGGGTACAGGACAGGTAGTCTAGTCAGGCAGGCACACCAGGTCTCCTGAGCTTCCCAGTCAGTTGAATCGCAGTGTTCCCTGCCTGGCGTCTCAGTGCTTGGTGAGGAGCTCCGCTTTGAAGAGCAGGCATGGGGCGGGGTGGGGAAAGTTTCCTCCTTGTTGGTGGCAGAAGTCGGGAATTTCCACATCTCTCAGCTTGTGGCCCAGGCGAGGGCCCCGCGGTGCATGCGCAGGGCCTTCCTGCTGAAGGGAGGGCTGTGTGGGGCTCAGGCCTGCAAGGAAGCCCCACACCCGGTTCTCTGCGTTCGCAGGTGAGGCTGACCACGCAGACAGCAGCTGGGCCTGTGTCTGACTTCTACACTCTCCCCGTGGGGATTCGCACTGTCGAGGTCACAGAGCACCAATTCCTCATCAACAGCAAACCTTTCTATTTCCATGGCGTCAACAAACACGAGGATGCAGATGTGAGTTGTGGCCTCTGGGCCCCTTGGAGGGCCATTTCCTGTCCTCACCGTCCCCACGGCCCCTGAAGCAATCGAGGTGACTTGGAGCAGTTGAGCATAGTGCTGGAAACCGCTGCCCGACAGGCTGTGCTGGGGCCACACAGAGGGCTAAGGCGGTGACCCCTGGGCGGCCTGGCTTCAGAAAGCAGTGCGCAGGGCCGGGGTTCGGGCTCACCCCACCGTGCTCTGCCCCAGATCCGGGGAAGGGGCTTTGACTGGGCCCTGCTGGTGAAGGACTTCAACCTGCTGCGCTGGCTCGGGGCCAACGCCTTCCGCACCAGCCACTACCCCTACGCGGAGGAGGTGCTGCAGCTCTGCGACCGCTACGGGATCGTGGTCATCGACGAGAGTCCGGGCGTGGGCATCGTGCTGGCGTGAGTGCCCGCCCCGCCCCCGCCCCACCCCCGCCCCCGCCCCGCCCCCTCCTGACCGCGCCCACTCCGTGTGCCGCAGCCAGAGCTACGGGAACCAGTCTCTGCAGCACCACCTGGAGGTGATGGGGGAGCTGGTGCGCAGGGACAAGAACCACCCCGCGGTGGTCATGTGGTCCGTGGCCAACGAGCCCGCCTCCTTCCTGCCGCCCGCCGGTTACTACTTCAAGTGAGTGCTGCCGCCCTGGGCCGGGTCGTGGCTGAGAGCGCGGATGGGGGCGGTGGGAGGCGTGCGAGTGCGGTGTGGGTGGGGGGTAGGAGTGCGGGGTGGGGGGGGATGCAGGCAGCGGATGGGGGGATGGGGAATGGGGATGGGATGGGGGGAGGGGCGCCGAGCAGGTGCCACGTCCGCTGTCAGCGCTGCCCTCGCTTCTGAAATGTGAGCCGCTGGAGGCGAAGTTCCGAGCCACACCCGTTTCCGCCGTCTCTCAGTCTTTCCGTTGTCCCCATTCCTGGGAAGGTTCGTGTATTTTAAAGGTGCAGAAAACCAGTGGGTGTTGCTTCGGGTTCACTTGTCAATTGCAGTTCGGCTCCGTAAGACCGTGTTTTCCTGGCAGATAACCCTGCGCAGGCCTGTCCGCGACGTTCGCGCTCCGACTGCTCTCAAGTGACACCGTTGCCCTAAGTGCCAGAAGCTCCTCCGTCCCCCACCAGGCATGGCTGGGACAGAGCCCCCCCTTAGGGCAGTGCTGGCAACAACC